ATATATATATATATATATATACACTCTATCACAGTTTTTCAAAGTAAGATTGGACATGACACACGATTGGCTGATTGACGGATGAGCCGCATGATCGGCATGGAATTTTTACATTTTTTATTATTTTCCATCTCCTGCACCTGTGTGCAGCCCACAGCTGCAGAGGAAGCTTTCTCCTGCAGCGTGTCGTATCTCCGCTCTGCAGCAGAGAAGTGGGTGTGGCTGTGAGCGCTGACAGACAGCAGATTTCAGGACATTCTGTGTTCTTTTAGAGCGTTTAGGGTTTAGAAACATTGTTTAGAATATTGCAAGAGGGTTTAAAGGGTTTAAAACACCTGTATATATATACATTTATAACACCTTTATTTATATATATACAGTTGTCCCTCGTTTATCATGGGGGATCCGTACCCTGAAGCCCCGCGAAAAAATCCTGGTATGGGGGCCTTTCTGGGTGGAGTTTGCATGTTCTCTCTGTGCATGTGTGGGTTTTCTCCAGTTACTCCAGTTTCCTCCCACAGACCAAAAACATGCATGTTAGGTTGATTGGTAACTCTAAATTGTCTCTAGGTGTGAATGAGAGAGTGAATGGTTGTTTGTCTCCTTTGTCTCTATATGTGTCCCTGTGATGGACTGAAGACATTGTCCAGGGTGTCCCATGCGTCTCGCACACTGATGGATAAACATGGACAACAGTGATCCCCGCGACCCAAAAAAGGAAGAAGCAGGTAAAGTGTGTGTACAGTACACATATATGTGTGTGTGTGTGTGTGTGTGTGTGTGTGTGTGTGTGTGAGAGAGAGAGAGTTACAAACAACAAAAAGCTCTGTCAGTCAGTTATCTAATGTGTTTTACAATTTTCCTTGTTTGGAAGTGTATCTGCAGCCTTCCTACAATCCAATACAAAAAGTAAAAAATGTTTTAAAGTGCATGAGGCAAACTTGGGATTACTAAAAAACAAATGGGAGTTTCACATATTGGTAGGGTTCTAAAGCAATAAATGGGCAAATGGCTCTGTCACACAAATGAATAGAATTATTTGTAAACTAAAATCTAGAACCAGTATTTAACACGTGTAACTATTCATTCGTTCATTTACTGGTTTGTTTGTTTAAAAGGTTTAGATTAGCAACTTGTACTTTTGATAAAATCTTGATCAAATGCATGCCTTGGTGCAATTTATGTGGTCACCCTTCTGCTAACCTCTTTGGGACATGAAATATATCTTTGATAGCAGAAAATCAAAATCACTCAGTTTTTACAAGAGTTTATGACTAACTGAATATTTGCCTCTAAACCTGTTAATGACCAGTGACTGAAACAGAAGACGCTCTAAAGGAATGGATTTGGTTTATCAACCTCTACAGACTGCAGACATCACACTAATCAAGCAAGATACATGAAGTATGGTCAAAGGTTCTGGCTCTGGCCCAACAGGAGTTACAGAACCACAAAGCTGAAAGGCAAAGTTTCAACATCAACTTAAAGGTTATTCCGTCGTGCGCACACATATGCACTGAGGGCTGAACTGATTACAGTCTGACCCCTAAAAAACGACCACAAACCCATTTACTGCAGCACCACTGTGATAAAGTTACAAACTTATAGTTAAGGTTGTTTTAATGCATTTATTTTATTTAACTGATTCGGTTTAGGTGGTGAGCCTTAAGGTGGGAAGGAGGACGACAAATGTCAATAATTATTTAGGGCCAATTTATTAAATGTGTTTTAAAAGCATTTAAATAAAAGAAGTACCCTATGCACACTGAGTCACCTATAAAAATTGATTTCCTTTTAAAGACTCCTCTCAATCTAACACTTTGAATTTTATTATTTTTTTTATCTCTGAGCATGAAACTGCTGACACGGCAGGAACACACGATTCAGACGCGTGACACCACATGTGTGAATCTTTTCTCATACAGCTCAAGATTAAAGTTAATGTACCGGACAAGTCAAAATTTAGGACAAGGAGGACCAAAAGGACCTGAAGTGAGCCGTTCATGTAACGACGCCCATCAGTATCCCAGAGCTGGAGCTGCTCTACAGAAAAGACTAAAGTTCCTCCAGGCTGATCAATAGTTTACCTTTAGCTGCAGTTACTGCTGCACAAGGGGTTCATGTTAAACACTGAAAGCAAAGGTTTGCATAGTTTTGACATTCAAAGATGTGAACCACTGGATCATTGACTCCTCACTCTCCCCCCCCCCCCCCCAAAAAAAAAAGTACTTTGAGTTACCATATTTGCCGGCATATAAGTCATACATTTTTGCATAAATTTGCAAGTCATGCAACTTATACACTGAAGCGACTAATATACGTTTTTCCACATATTTATAACCCAATGTTTGGCTGAGATCTGACGATTTCATTCATTCTGACATGAAAAATATTAAACATTTGTGGCCGCTAGAGGGCCATCGACTAATATGGCAAGCCAAGTGTCTCATTAATAGGTAAAAGTGGCTATTAATGAGACACTTGGCTTGCTATAGTTACCAGCTTCGTCTCGCTCCGGGACTCCTGGAGCAAACATCAAATCGGCTGCAATTTGCCGCGCCGTCCAGGTGAAATGCAGCTGATCTGACCATTAAATGCATTTATTAAGGAAAAGTTCAACTGAGACACACCTTAGCTATAATGTCGAGCTAACAAATAATTGTTTTTGTGCTAATCTTGTTAAATTATTGTTAAAGTCCTCCCATGCACGCTACCACGGCCGTCATTTGGCAGCCAGTCGAGTTTTGGCACAACACCGGCTCACGTTTCAGGGTTGTCAGCGGTGACGCATAATAGATGCAACTTATACGACAAAGCGACATATTTATGTTTTTTCCACTTTATTAGACATTTTTGGACTGATGAGACTTATACAGCGGTGCGACGTGTGCGGCAGCAAGTACGGTAATCGTTTGGTTTTCTTTTTTTTACAGTTAAGAGTAAAATTCTGAGACTGTTTCAGATTATATTTAGGCTAAATTGTAACATTCAGGAAATCTTGTGTTAAATTATGCGTGTGCTTTAGATAAGAGGGCAGCATCTATTTCATGGGCCCACCTCACTGCAGCTGCAGCTACCTGCTAACATTTAACTGTTTCCTTGAGTTATGAGACCAAAATCAAGGTTCAGTGTGTTCGTTCTCCGTGCAGATGTTTTCTATATCCTACACACTGCACACACACGGTTGTTTCAGAAACAAAATGTTCTACGATTTAAAGAGTGTAACCAAGCTGTGGATTTGACTAGGCAGGTACTTGTCTCCCACGAACAACAAATATTTGATATTGCATGAGATTAATTCAAATAAGAACGAAAAGAAACGTGCACAAACCACTGTCTGGAGCTTCACGATGTTCCAGCTGCTCCGTGAGATGACTTTGCACAGAATAGCTCTTGTGTGTGGAATCTAACAAGAATGGCTGGTTTTGTTTCCGAGTGGTTGGGAGTTTACCTGAAATGCCGTCTTGGTGATTTGCTTGAAGGCACTGAGGGTGCGGAGAGAACTCAGAAGTCTATTTTCTGAGTGTCATTCTCAGGGCGGGCGATGAACTACGGCTGCATCCAGATCAGCTTTACACCTACGAGGCGACATTAAGTGAAAATAAGATTACTTAAGAAATAAACCAAAAGGCTTAAGGACATCTTTGATTTAGCATTATTTATAATAAATCAATAAATTATGATTTATGCATTTAACAGCTGCAGCTATCGAGCTGTTCGGTGGATTTACTTGTTATCTGTAGCTCTGAGGTGGAAAATGAGTACAAGTGAAAGGCACTTCAAACGCTTTTCCTAATATTAAAAGTTCTGACACAAGGAATCTAAAGTCTTGCACCAATGAGCATGGAGCCGTTCAGTTAAATGTACAGAGATTATTTGTTCCAGCGTAGCTGTCTTCAACTCTCATCACACTTTGAAACAAAACACAAGATTATGGATTTCCTGATGCATGCTCAATAATCCAGGTAGAAAAATCTAAAAAAGTTAAATCTGGTCATTCAAAAAACAAAACAAAGCAAAGATTATGGAGTTAACACTTTTACAGCCTCTTCTTTCATCCTCACAGAAAACTCGACTCGCCTGTTCAGCATGTTTTAGGCTTGGCGAAAATGTTTTGTCTGTTCTTTTCAGACTAACGTGCACTCCAAAGGTGAGAGCAAGGTTCAGTGGTCTGTAGATTTTCACGTTTTGACAAGTGTCAGAGACCGGGCTCTGCATAACCTACCAACTGTACAACTTAACTAGAATTCTGACTGAGCTTTGCTCTTTAAATGGCAGGTTTCTAAAGGGTTTAGAGAGATAAAGGCAAGAAAATCAGCTTCTTGATAGAGCAACCTGTTGGAACAAAAAAAAAAAAGGGGGTGGGGGGTCAAACAAACAGTGCAATAGTTTCACACATTGCACTGACACAGCAAAGCAATCACCACAGCAATGGGTTAAAGTCTGAAAAACAGGGATGGAGGGTCTGTTTTCTGTTAAATCTGATTAGCCACTGGAATAGTTCAGCCATTATATATATATAGCTTTTAGTATGCAAGTACTGGTTTCCATTGTACTTTATGTAGTACGCTGAGAAGTGTACTAGAGATGATGAAATGGTCCGCTCAGCCTCTCTGGCTGATCTGCAGAGGTGAACAAGTGTGTGACTCCAAAAAGGGCACTTTTATGATGTTGGCACGCTGTGAGACAAGAAGGGACATTTATTTACTGACACTGTAAAATGATCAGAACATGTCCCAACCTGGCCCGCAACATACTTTTGAGCAGATTATCCCACTCCTAAAACCTAACTTTGCAAGTTGAACTAAGCTGTACAGAAGCTGTTAATTTACATGACCCCCCCCCCCCCCCCCCCACACACACACACACACACACACACACACACACATCTGTACAGTACAGTAATGTCATCTGTGCTTCACCAGCTTCATGTCTGCCTGCTGCTTTCTGGAGCTCTGAGAAATAATCTATCCATGGGTCTTCGGAAACTTTTCAGATTATGTCGTGAGTATGTTTGAATGTAAGCTGCAGGCTTAGTCCTCTGGGGCAAACACAAAACCGCATTATTGTGCGTGTCAGGTGGGGGGGTTTGGGACAGGGTGGTCTTACCGTGACTCGCTGTGGGACAGTTCTCTCCGCTCGGCAGGACTGATGCATTGCGCTTCTTTGCTCAATTTGGAGGAGGAGGGGGGAGGAGGGGGGCAGGCAGATGCAACCACCTAAATTAACAAATGAATAAATTAGGCGTGTAAAAAAAAAAAAAAAAGTCACCCAAAGTGAGTTTTTAACTCCAAAACGAACTTTGTGCGGGCGCAGTTCCCGTCTCCGCTGTCCCGCTTCTGTGCCGGGGGGGTCCAGTCACTCGGAGCTGACGGGCAGTCTGGGGGGGTCTGTCGCTCCCTGCCTGCTCCTCTCTGAAAGCGTCAGTGCGGGACCTGTTGGAGGTGGATTGCTGCGTGTCTCCCTCGTGGACCGCCGGGCCATAACTTGTGTGTCCGCGCGCCGGAGGAGCGGCTGCACCTCCTCCTCTGTCATCCCAGCCTCAGCATCGCCCGCAGTGGGCCGAGGAGGAGCAGCCGGGGAGCGCAGCCCTAGCCAAGCCGGGACACGTGACCGAGCCCCCCCCCCCCCCCCGTTTAAGAGGGGTGGGGAGAAACCACCTCCTCAACATCCCAGTCAGACTTTACTCGGGTCATTCGGTGCGTCTCTGGACATGGAGGCGGGCGAAACGTTTTAATTCTCAGCCAGAGAAACCTTCATCTTTAGTTTTGCACAGAACACAGAGAAGTATGACTTAAAGCGACAGTTCAGCTCTTTTGAAGCTGGGTAAGGTGCACCAGGGGCGCACATAAATTAGGATGCAATACTTGGATGACAAAAGTAGAACTTCAGGGTTTCACAATAAATTATAAGACCACTATAGTGCAGGACAGTATTAGTTGCGGGGAGTCATGTCAGCAAGTGGCACATCCAGTTTTATTTTAATGGGGTGGCCATGTGGGGGCCACTGAAAATCCTGGGGTGGCACAGCAAAACCAAAAGAATTTCAGAAATTCTATTATGCTGTTGTTGTGACAAGGTTATTAGAAAACTTTAGCAACAAAGAGTTGGTGTAGTTCAGTTTCTTATAGATTGTGACGTTCAGAAACCAGAACAAATCATATTTAGAGTCCCGCAGCAGTCCATGAATTGTCCTAACATTAGACTTTTTGGCCTTTCACCTACAAGATCTTAATAAAACATTCATTAGAAACAAGTCTCTTCAAGTTTAAAGCCACCATTTAATCTAATTATTGTAAATAACGTTTTTGTTTGGTGCTGTATACTTATGTGAACAAAATAGGTACTGTAGATGTCCAAAACTGGGAATAAAGGGACAAAAAACAGCCATGAAGTAAACAGAATTTACTAAAATAAATAAAATATCATGCATAAAAACCCAGCATCCTAATGTTGAGGACACTGCTTTTACAAGTTTCCTTGTTCAGTGAAACTAGATTTTAAGTAAAATGTTTAATTTTTTAATAAAAATACATTTATAGTTTAACTCATAATGGCTCAAAACAATGATTTGTTTTATGCATATAAGGTTCTCTCAATCCTAAATAAATTAAAAATGCACAACAAGCAAAAGCTTGGAAGATAAAACTTTCTGGCCAAGGAGGGCCACCAATTTTTTTAAGGAGGGCGATGCCCCCCTGGAGCCCCCCCCCCCTGAATGTCAATATGCAGATAATGAATACTTTCAGGCACTAATTCATTGAGGGATGGCTACAGGAAAGTTTTCCTCACAAATGTATTCTTCTGCAACTTTATGACAGTCCAAAAAAGTGATAAAATCCTCTCAGCCCATTTAAATATTAGTAAAGGATATATGCTTTACTCTAATGAAGACAATGTTCACCAAACTTCTCTGTTCGTTAAACAGTTGCAGTATAAAAAGGTTTAGTTGTATGTGAGAAACTAGCGTCTGCCAGCATGTTTTACAACTCAGGTCTGTGACATTGTTTTCAAAAGATTGTGTTTAGGCTGTCTACATGAGAATGCAGACATTGTGCTCCGTGTTCTTAGATAACTGGGCTGTTGTTTTACGTACTCCTGTTCCATTTAAACAAGCACCAGTTAGACTAGATTTGTTCTACTTTGATAAACAGGACACACATGATTCATCATTACTTCACAACACCCTGAATTTAAATTTAAGGGACGATACAAAGTTCTGTGACAGGGCTTTTAAATCACCATCAGTAAAAGTATTTAAAAAGTGTCCACATTAAATGCCAATTTATTTTTTTATTATTTAGGCAACAACCCACTTTAGCCATTGGCTCATCTGTGGAAACAAAACTTTATTTAGCCAAACTGAGGTCACAAACAAATACTTAAGATATTGTTAATAAACTCAAAAAAAATCCAAACTGTTCCTTTAAGTGTTTCCAGTTCAAACTGGCTTCGTACCTCAGCAGTGAAAGCTGCCAAAGAAAATCAATGGGTTAATCATTTTTTTCAAATGTTAAAATAATGAATACTTAAGACATGGGAGGGTGGCTCAAAGTCAAGTTAAAGTTTATTAAAGGTTGTTATTCAGTGATTTAAGAACAGTGATGTTAACAACAAAACACAAACGCAGCCTAAACACGTCTGAACACACTAAAACATACGAGCTGTTCTATAAATAACACCAAGATTTATCCACAACGAACAGTAACAAAAGCCTTGTCCTAAATATGCAGTTTGTATTCATATCAAACACAGCAAATCTAAATAAAACCGGTTTTCATTTTCTCTGATTCATTTGGATTGTGTGAAATATTTCATGTGCTCAGATGTACACTTCTCTAATATTCATTCAACCTTTCATTTATAATATAAAACTCTTCGAGGGGCCCGTTGTCTTCACGATGCAATCTTGTGCACTGCTACTGTGATGGTCCCGTGACTCCTCACCAGAATGTTTCTACCAAACAACCAGAAATAAAAACAGTGAGCTAAGACAGACATTCACATGAGAAGCAATTACTGAAGCAGTGAACAGGAACCATCGAAGAGGAGAGGACACAAGTTGTGCTTAATGGTAGATCTTGTCCACTGCTCAGTCTTTCACCTCCACTATGATGACACAATACACAACTGTACAGTTGTAGGATTGTTGTGTACTGAGAATAATATTACGCAAAAATATCAACCCTCTTTAATTTCTTTACAGTTTGCTTTCAAGCACCCAGACTTTGTCATAATGGTTTTAAGTTGTCATAAAACATGTGCTTTTTCATTTACTTTTTATTCTTTTATAGTACTTAACTGTGACAGTGCATTGTTCAAAAATTAGGAGCTCTATGAAACACCTTTCAGCAGATTAACAAAATCTGAAAGTTATCCAGCGCAGACCTAAAACAGGGAGCGGGGATGTCAGCTGATCATCTATCGAATGACAAGTTTTCAGATAAAAGCTCTTTGAAAAGTCTTTTGTTGCTGATCAAATACTATTTGGTTTGTCAAACTGTGTTACCTTCGGTGTTTTTCATAGATTTGACCCCACCAAAAACTGGAAGCAAGTTATGTTCTTGCGACAGGAGCTAAAGAACACCCTAAAGATCTAATTTTTCATTTAATCTATTTACCAAGTTTTCTGTTATGAGTCGACAACGCTGGTTCATGTCTAGAATTTAAGAGTCTCCATCATCCACGACGGATCAGAAGCTTAAAAATAAATTAGAATGAGATGAAACTGAAAATGGGTGAAAAAGCAAAGTCCACAAAAAAGCTGCACAAAGACTTAGAAACTGACTAAACCCACTTTAAACAACTCCCAAGCAAAGGGAAGACTCTGTGGTGGATTTTCTAACTAAACTGTCTCAACACAGAAACAGGTGAAATAAGCGATGTCTTCAAAAATGGTCTTTGAATTTGTTTATTACACAGGATGCTTCACACAGCCTGCAGAGGATGTGTGCATGACAAAAAGTCCAATCCAGCTTTATAGCTGGATACATCTCCTTCAGGTGATAAGAGACAGAAAATGGGTCAGAAAGACATTGTGCTCCGTGTTCTCCGATAAATGAGGCTGATTGTTTACATACTCCTGTTCCATTTAGATTAAATGAAAACCTAGTTAGACAAGACCTATCAATCACGAGACGTATTTGTTCTATTTTGATAAACAGGAGATGCAAGATTCATCATTCCAAAACACACTGAGCACAGTACTTTTCCACTGTGAAGACACATAATAAGAATTTATATTTAAGGTAAAGTACAAGGTTCTTTGCGACAACTCCTAATTTTGTCAAGTAGCCAATGTTTAAATTCTCCTTTTAATAATACCAGGACAAATTAGTTCACCAGTAAAAGAATGCTGAGTCACCAGGATCTTTAAATAATATATCTGAACCAGTTATTCTTCGACTAAATCCCTGTTGATGAAGACCGTCATTTTATTAATACTGAAAAAGTCAGAGGCAAAAAGCAAACTCATTCACAGCTTAAACTTTTATTACTTTAAATAATTGAGTACTTAGTACTATTTGTTCTGGTGCATTAAAATGATACTTTAAAAGACCAGAAGATGGCAGTATAGCCGCAAATACCAAATTCTACAGTAGAGAAATAAATAAATATAAATCTGTATGTCTATCCTGACTACGTCATCTGCCTCCACAAAAGAGGTGGACAACACCTCAGATGGACTGTCAGCCCCAAGTGAAACCACACAATCAAGAAAACACACACCAACATATTTTAAAAATCACATATTAACACCTCGTGCATGTTTTTTGGTACGTGATCAAAAACAAAACAAGTCAATTAAATTACAGAAAGTCTCGGGATGTGAGTGAACCAGGATCGGGTGCTGCTGAGCTGAACCACAGTGCTATCCAAGGAACAGAGTCTGGAGGCCAAAGCTCTGGTTCTGGATCTCTTTCAACAGCTTTCTTTAGAATTATTGATCTCCCCACACATTAATCAAAGCCACCACAGACATGCCTTAAATATCTACGCTAGGCTAAAAAAAGAAAAGCTCCCAGTGCTCACCCTGACTCAGACTCCAGGCACACGGTCGGTGTGTCTGTCGGGTCTTTGATGAGATCTGCAGCTTGCTTGGCCAAAACGGACACAACACCACCGTGTTCGTCAGTCAAGGACCCACGGCCTGCAATTAAAAACACAAAATACGCAGAACAAGTAAAACAAATCACTGTATCTGTCTATGAATTTAAACTACATCTGCTCTAACCAAAAGTTAACAGAAACAGTCAAATTATCTCACTTTAACTTTAATAAACACAGAGATGTGGATTTTTACTGCACTACACTAAAGTCTACAAATCAGCCACACATCACAAACTGATTGCCATCATGTATCTCCCTCAACACATGACTAATCAATTTTTATGAATAAAAATGCTTAAAATTTACATCATCTGCCCTTTTTTAAATCTGAACAAGACATAAAAAGCGAATAAAGCTCTGAGGAAGTTAACATGGAACTAATCTCTCTGAAAGATTACCTAGTAGCTTCTCTTATATTGTCACTATAATATTATTTAACAAAAACTAACTTATATCATACCGTAAGATTATTGATTAAGACATAGACTCTGTAATATTAATTGCTAAAATAATCATTTAATGTCTACAATAAACATTTTTGTTCTGGGGTAAGGCTTTGTGATAGTTGATAAAGACTAAATATGCTCATATATCCTCGTGGGAAACTGAATGCTTTGCAACAACTTTTCCTCATTTATCAGTTGCAAATCTTACAGAACAGATCAGAGCTGAAACTGAACAGTGTAAGATAAACAAATTAATAAACCTGAGGATTCACTTGCTCATTGACGGGGAAACAGTCATATGCTTTGACTGACGTTGTTACTTATTGACAGTGAACGATGTGCATGATCAAATTATTGTTATTTTCTGCAAGGTTACAGAGCATTTAGCCTAACTGCGTTATGCATTTGTTCGTGAGTAATACCAAGCAAGAAACAGTTGCTAACAACATTACGATTAATCTGCTCTACTTGTGGCACACTTTAACACCAAAATTGGCAGTCAAGAGATTACACAGCATTCATTTTTATATGGAGTTAGCCTCTGAGATTAAATTAAATTGCAGCAATTTCCTGTTGATCTGTATTATTCTCTGATGGGCTCATACCATCAGAATGGCTGATCTTATTCTCACTGCATAAATACACACATTGTAAATATTTTAAGAGTTATAAATAGGATAATGTTAGGTTAAAAGTAAAATGCCTCAGCTTTTATCTCAAAGGTCTAGTAGCAACTTATAGATGTATACTAGTTTAATGTAATAAAAAAACGAATGTACATACATGTATTAAAGTTTGTCGTAGCCCATTTACATGTGAGGTGAATGTTGGCAATGAGTCTTCAAATACTATTATAAGTTAAAATTGGATGAGTTTTATGGCATGAGTTTTTATCCACCAATTAATCATGGCGTCCTGAGTTAACCTAGTTTAAATAACCATTTATATATAAATTATATACGATTTGTTTCCAGCACGTTTGTAACTGTGTATACTACTGGTGATGTGAGCTACATGACTGCAATTTGGAATTAAGAAATCGACAAGTTTATTAAAAGCTACGGTGAACTGTTGTCCCGTTTTAAAAACTCACATTTGATGAGATTAACATGACTGGGTGTTTGTAATCAAATACAATCAATTTTGAATTTGTTCAGCAAACTTATCAGACTTTATTACGGTTGGTTTGACCATAGTTTTAAGCTGCGTTTAAGCTCAGACACCTTCTATTTAACAGCAAATTGAGACTGAATATGTACCGCTGAACTATTTGTATCTGTAAATGTCATTTAGTAATATCTTACAGCCCAGGTTGTGTCCTTGTTGGTCCGTGCAGAGAACACCGACAACTGCTGGATTCTTCATGCTGCCAAAAAAACAGGAAGAACTGAAAAGTCGTTTTTTATGCCACAAAAAGTTAAGTACGCGCGCAGTTACAAACAGGTTTTCACTTACGTGTCGTCGAGGTGTTGTTCAAGAGTCGACTCCATCGTTGACAAATAATAAGTAAAAGAAAAATCAAATTTACTGCACAAAAACCTGGTGTTGTTGTTGAAAGTTTCATAGATTTTTCCGGGTACAGTCAGCTGACCGTCACGTGCGTAAGAGTCCCTACGAGGATCAAAAATGACAAAACGCGACACAAGACCAAAAAAGAAAAAAAGACTTCCGGAAAAAAAAAAACATTAGGAAGAGTTATGATAAATGTAGATGTGGTAGGAATTTTACGCATTTTATTACAATATCTTTGTTTTGATAGTAGCACATTGTCGAACTAGTTGTAAAAAAGACGGACGGACGGACAGACAGACAGACAGACAGACAGACAGACAGACAGATCTTTTTTCACTTTATTCACGCAGCCCTCCCTGAGGAAAAACATGACACACACACATCAGATTACTTTGATTATTTTCATCCTCTTGAATATATATATATATATATAAAAAAAAAACCTACAGATAATTCGACAACAAAGTCCATGCTCAAAAATCCAGGTATAAAATCCAACATTTTTCAGTCAGGTCATCTGGACAGTTTCAGATGACCTGATGGAAAAATGTACAGATAATTCGGTTTCCACTGTTTTCTACTTAAATAATTAGTCATGTTTAGATGTTTCTCATCAAATAGACAATGCTGAAATATATCCAGTCTCACTGTCTCTACAGTTTTAACACAGTTACTTGGAGAAACATTTTTGCTCCTTGATATTGACGTGATGTTGACAATAAGAAGCCAAATTACCTATGAAACTACAATTATCTCCACCAGACCAGCTCAGGATGGGAGACTGCGACAAAGTGGATTCAACGCAATTTGCTGGCTTCCTCAGATAGATAACTTTAACTGATTGCCTTTTTCATGCATGTGAATATTTTTGTACAGTGCCCTGAGATGACTTCTGTTGTGATTTGGCACTATATAAATAAACTCTCTCTCTCTCTCTCTCTCTCTCTCTCTCTCTCTCTCTCTCTCTCTC